CGATAATTATTTATTTATTAGAATTTTATCATAGAGACAAAACTATTTTACTCATTACAAAGATGCAACTTGGTTTCAGTACATTTCAACTGCACTTCGACGGGTGAGAATCGATTCCAACCCGTCGAAGTGCAGTTGAAATGCACTGAAACCAAGTTGCATCTTTTGTAGTGTGTAAAATGGTTTTGTCTATATGATAAAATTCTAATAAATAAATATATATATATATATATATATATATATATATATATATATATATATATGTAAAGTATATTTTGTGTTTAAGAACAAAGAACGTTGAAAAAAAAACTTCAGAAGTTGATAAAATTACAGACGATCCTACTTATTCCTTATCTTTTCTCTTCGCAATTAGTAGAACCTGGACAATGTATCAGTAAGTTTATCGTAAGAATGAAAGGAAAGTTCAGAATTGAGTGTAGTAGAAAATTTTGTAGATTTCATTTCTTAAAAGAGAGAAATAGTTAATTGTACGATAGATGGTGAATAGTAATTTGTACGTCCTCGTCTTTCTGTGATATGCCATTAAGTAAGCTTACATTTCATTAACCACGTCAATAAACCTGAGTACTAAATATTGAGCAAACTTTTACGAAATATTTCTATTTCACTTTTGTTTGAACTACTGACTTGATTTTCCTAAAGTCGATCGAGTAAAATAGTGATTATTGTCTTGTTTAGCAATGACTAAATCTTTTTTTGTTATTTCTTTCCTTTTTATGTGCCATGTCCTTTCAGGACGTAGGCGATCATGGCGATCCATTTCCCTGTATCCCTTGCAGCTCTTAGCAAGTTCCTTCCATCTGCTTCCTCCCCCAGAGCACGTTCTGTCATTCACCTCCTCAAGCTCGCCTAGTTTTGTCACGCGCTGCTTTCGCTTGTCACTCTTTCCCTCTATTCGACCCGTGAGTATCAGATTCTCCAGGCCTTCCTTCGTCATTATGCGTCCCAGAAACGTCAGCTGCCTCTTTCTACTGCTTCCTAAAGAATAAAAGTCTTAGTCAGTACTAAACGAATCAATAAGTTAAAATTTGACGGAGAAATTTAATCGATCGCTTGTAATAACTGTCACAAAAATACACAGGAGAAAATTTCGTAGCCTGATGAAAAAATAATTTATTTTCCACTATAAATATTTATTTTGAAACATAATTCCTTTCCTTGTTAATGCACATAATCCACTGCTTCTCCAAATAAACATCAACAAATATGTAGTAATAATTTCACATCAAAATTCAGCTAACAGCTTCGTGAGGCTATGAACTTAAAGACTGTCATACGCCAATCTTCTAAATGGTTAGAGGCCTATAGATTTTAAATCTCATCATTCAAAATCTTGTCTTTTAAATAGATTCGCGAGAAAATACGCAACTATCTCAGCTAAAAGTCAATCAAAACTTAAAATTGTTTTATTTTTAAAGGAACTGTCGTCCATTTATGAACCTAAATCCAAATTACAAACAAAATTGCATACATTTAGCCAAAAAGTGTCACAAATGACTTTTATTTGTTCTTCATTATTTCAGTGTTAATTACTGGAACTTATTTAATTATCACAATGTGATAATGTTGGTCGATATAGAGAATTGATTAATTTCCTACAGTCTTTATTGTTTAACATCTTGTTGAATTCAAAATACCGATAAAAAACATGCTTCGTTTAATGAAATCATATTTTCGTGAAAATTAGTTTTAGTTTTCCGAAAAGTAAGAAAAGGTGAAGAACTGATGAACGAATATGTCTGTTGGATGAGAAGCAGCTTGGCGTTATGTGGTATCGGATAATTCACAAAAGAGGAAAATATATCAACGAACAATTTAAAAAAAAAAACAATGAACCAATTAAAAAAAAATACGTCCTCTGCCTGCCTGAACATTTTCGTAAGTGGACAACCCAAAAGCTTTGCTTATTTTGAGAATGGAAAAAAAAAACTTAGATCAGTCAGTAGGGGGTCACATCCATTTAGAAAATGTGGCCAACATTTAACTTGACTCCCCTTGTACAAGCTCCGAGCTGGATGACAACACTGGCTATCGATCAAACGTGAAAATCATACCCTGGTTTAATCCAAGCCTTGTCAATAAAAGTGAGTAGAGGGAATCTTTCGTTGATGGCTGTGGTAGCCCAAAGTCACAAGTCATCGTGACAGAGGATGGGATCGTACTGGCTTTGTTCTAACTGTTAGTCAAGCCAGATCATGCTCTCTTTCTCCCAGAAATTGTAACTAAGGTCCGCTCAGCATAGGTACAAGATAAACCACAGGTGGGCTCTCTCAAAAATGTACATGAACAGGCGCCTACAACAGACATTGCCTAGGTGACCTAACAGACAAGATATGAGCGGTCAGAAATTATGTAGTAGTCAATGAGAATATACAGTCACAAGAATTTTATTTTATTATATATAGGTTGTCTTAAATGTCTAGCCACATAGGACCTGTAGTGAACACAATAATTTTCGTTACTATTTTGAATTTGTATTGTGACTCGTGATCGAATAGGTTTTTGATAAATAAGAAAAGACTCCCACTGTGTGTGTGTTTTTTTATAGTTTTTCTATGTATCTTTACCTTTGGAACACGGTGCATATGTGCATGTATATATATATATATATATATATATATATATATATATATATATATACACACACACACACAGACACACACACACATATATATATATATATATATATATATATATATATATATATATATATATATATATGTTAACCAAATTTCAGATAATAAGGTAACACGTAACAGACCAAAAACAAAAAACAACATTTTCAAACTATAAAGGATATATAAAAGGAACCTATTTTGTAACCACATTAGACATACCAATTTGTTCACTAGCTCAGTCACTAAATCTACTTTCAAAATGTAACACATCTCTAACTGTAGAAGTCACAATATAATTTACCTATTAGAATGCACACTATGCCAGAAAAAATATGTGGGAAAATCTGAATGGCCATTTCACTACAGAATTAATAATTATCGGAATCAAATCAAGTCGGCTCCTTACAAAAGATTATTACCTGTAGAACAACATTTACACCAAGAAAAACATGATTTTAAAAGCCATACAAAATTCACTATAATTGAAAAAGATATAGACAGAAAAGATAAAATTAGAAAAATTACTAGAGGAACATGAAGACAAATGGATTTTGCGTCTCGAAACACTTCGTCCGGATGGACTTTACCACAAATTTAACAAAAATTAATATATAATCCCATAAATCAAGCGCTGCCCACATTTCTCATCAAAACAAGACAGACATGTTTGCAGAGGTGGCAAGGTCTCACACTTATATACACACTCATACTAATATATAAACATACACACACTCTCACAAATAACTAAAAGTTAACACACATTTAACAAAATAAATAAATACATTCCGAGCAGCCAATAAAACTGTCAAATAGACCAATGAGGGAGTTCTTAAAGTCAGA